TATATATTTTTTTTTTTTTACAGTATTATTGAGGAAAAATTGGTTGTACCTTTTTTCCTCCCCAAATTTTTTTAATGAAATTAAAAATTCTGATGTGAGTACTCAGATTTGTTTTAATTTGTTCTTACCATCATTCATAATCTCCCAATAAAGAATAAAGTCAGATTTTCTATTAATACCCACCTGGGCATGATTATTATTATTATTATTAATATATATATATTTTTTTTTACAGTATTATTGAGGAAAAATTGGTTGTACCTTTTTTCCTCCCAAAATTTTTTTCATGAAATTAAAAATTCTGATGGGAGTACTCAGATTTGTTAGAATTTGTTTTTACCATCATTCATAATCTTTTTTTTTTTTTTTTTTTCCTTGCTGTTAAGAAGGCACAAGGGTCAGTTTCTGGCTCTGGGTTTTACTGGACCTTAAAATATATATCTTTTTTATAACTTGGGACCGGCGTGATGAATCTATTTAATGTCCATTAGTTATCAGTTAGACATGTAATCTGGTTGCTACTTCCTGAGGCAAACAACAAACCCTGCGAAGAAACTTTCAATACAATCCAAAGTTTTTTGCAAATGTTGCACAAATGGTTGTGACCCGCTTTTTTGTGTTGACATGCTCATCCATTTCAACAAGAATCAAATGCCCGCTCCTCCTGACGAGTAACACTGGACTGAGACAAAATTCCAAAACACCCAACATCTTCCCTGCCATCGCGCGGCTACTTTTCACGTCGGCTTTTGCCAAAAAAGCAAGCAAAAAAAAAAAAAAAACCAGGGGACCACATGAGCTTTGCACATCTGTACACATCTGTACAGTGTCAGCGGCCTGCCTGGCTCGCCAGTGATCAAATAACGAAAAACCAGCACAGCGGAAATAAGTCGTCTGGAGCCCGGGGGTGGAAAAAAAAAGCCCACTTGTCGTCTCCCGAGGAAGAACGGGGCTATCGCAAACAAAATTGCTGCGCCTTGTCGTGAAAAGGTGGCCGTTTTTGGGGCGGACGCGCAGGGTGACCCCTTGCGGATTTTCACCCCAGCCTCCCACAATGAACCTCTGCTCGCATCGCAGAAGCCTCAGGGGTGGGATGGCGCCTTGCCAGTAGCTGTTGCTGTTGTTGGCAGCCGCTATCCTCCGTGGCCTCAGTACTTACTCCGGTTAGGGCATAACATGATACACGCAAAAGGCCGACCAGAGTACAGCGCCACACACATACGCATATGCCGTGCGTGCGCCTCCACACACGTAATTATGCACAAAATCACTCCGCTCGCCACTCATCCAGAGACGAGCCGCGGCCTCAAAGGAAACAAGGCGGGTTAAAAAAGCCCGGCGTATCCTTGACGGCTTCATCTGGTTCCAGTTTGGTGCAGATGCGCCGCTTTTTATTGCAGCACTTCTTGTGTTTCATGGCAGATTTAGTCGGCGGTTTCGGCGCTGGCTACTCCGATGGTGGCACGTCTCCTTGTAAACTGTGGGGCAAACCAATAAGGCACTTTGTCACCCTGACCCCGTTACGACGCATAAACAGTCGCCTTTTCGATGCGTGGGTCTGTGCGCGTGCGTGTGAGTAATTTGTGGAGTATGAGTTAAGCAGTAAAATTCACCCGTTTTAAGCCATCTCAGGAGGCGGCCATGATGCCGCTTTCTGCTCCCATGTTTTCTGAAGCTGAGCCCTGATTGGTTGTTACTGGGCTTAGGATTTTGGGTCTCTAATACATGCTATGAAAAATGTGCGATAAAAACTGAAAGATATTAGGAACACGTAGTTTGAGTTGAGTATTTTGTCCAGATCAAACATAGCCTTTTTGTCATACATCTGGTTCGGAAGTATGTGATCCTATTTGGGTCCCCAATAGAACTGATGGAAAAAAAAAATGTTCACCAAAGCTATTTTGGGATGCCCAACTTAACATGATCAATGAAGTTGTTTGTATGGTGACGAGTCTGCTGCATGCGCCACATACGTAGACCCAAATTGCGTATGAAGTGTCATGTACGAAGTGCTACCTCCATGAGTGAAAATGATTTCCTTGTCTTCACAGGTGCTCATTTCCACCCCAACACTCAAGACGTCTGTGTTGAAAATCTCGTCACAAGGCCCGAGCTCCGCAGTATGCGGAAAGAGGTAAACGCCCGCTCACTTGCATTAGACAGAACCACCCCCTCAAAACAGGCTCATTTTCAGCATGACACCAAATGAAAGAGGCATCAAGTAAATCTGAGGGTAGTTTCCTACTTGCAGGCAGTCTTGCGTGCAGCATGGGTGATCTAGTTGGCAATGATTTGGGAGCGGTGCGCCGAGTGGCGCTTAACTGGCTCGTTGATGGCTTAAACGATTTCATCACTATCAAGGACGGCGACGGCGGCTTCCCGCGTTGCTCCGCCAGATGCTCGGGGACCCGCTCGCTTCTTCACGCTGACTATCCTCAAACCGACTGTTATTTGGAGTCACCGTACTCCGTCAAGCTTTTTATAAGGGCTTTTTTTCTTCTTCCTCTCCCGTCCTGCGTTAATTTGTACAAATCGTTTGGTAAGAAAGAATGAAAAATGATACGATGAGAATGTCATGAGAATCGTATGAGAGAATTTTTTTTTTTGTGTGGGTGGGCTGGTGGGGCGGTTCAGTGAGCCTTTTTTTTTAAATTGAAAAAAGGTACGGTTACAAGAAAACAGTTGCATTTTCGAGAAAAAAAGTCAAATTTTATTGATTTTTTTTTTTTAGAGAAAAGAAAAAAGTTGAAGTTTTATTGTTTTTCAGGGAAAAAATGTTCATCTTAGAATAAAGTCAGAATCTTTTTGTCTGAATTTTTTTTAAATATTACGACTTATGAGTTCTTCTGGGATTTTGTTCAAGTAAAAATGCATTAAAAACAATCACATCAGAAATTATTTTTAATCATTTTTATGAATACTTCAAGGGATGCCACTCAATATTCAGAGGGAAATAAAATCAACTTGTTTCAAGAATTTTTTGGGGGGAGAATACCAGTGTAGCATCATAAGGCGGTGCTGTCAAACTCTTTTTTTTTACGGGTCACATTGTTATGTTATGACTGTGAAACCACATCAGTGTTGAACTACCTCCATGGACAATACAGTACACAAGACATTTTTGGATGGCTAGTTCTGAAATCAGAAGTCAAGGATAATAGTTTGTTCAACCATTGTTGAAGCTACGGGACAAACGTAACGATTGTATGACAGTTTGAAATTTGTTGTCCCGGAAGTTGACGTGCTTGGTTTGCTTTCGTAGGCCGTATCAAACAATGTGTTGTAAGGGCTTCTTTTTCTTGATTTTCCACAGTTTCTGAGGATCGCATAACATTTTGAGAGGTAAAAAAGAATTTTTTTCGATGTCGTCATAGTCCGAGATGACGGTCCCAATTTGTCTTCATTGACGTGAATTTCGATTTTCCGGGACACAGCTGTCACACATCCATCGGCTCCTCCCTCATTTATAGAAGTACTTCCATCTAATTGTCATGACAAGTATAACATGATGGTCAACTCGGTCGTTCGCGACACGACACAAAGTCCCCCCCACCCCCACCCCTCCACGCCTCCATTTATTACAGCCCAATCACAGGGGGATGTTTGCAATGCGCGCACTGCGTGACCCGCCACTTATTTACAGCCCAATGACTAATCAACATGTGTTTTCACTGCGCAGGTACTCCGGTGTCAGCCATTTGGCCTTAATACAATAACTGATTGCCTTTAATCACAGCCAAATGTGATTTTTTTTTTTTTTTTTTGCTCATAAGTAACGCTGAATCACTTCCACATACCTGAAAGTCAGAGAATATTGATTTTACAAGGCTCATTAGGAAAGTCACTTTGAGAGTGAACTTGAGTGTGGGCGCAACGTGTGTGTATGTGTGTGTGTGTGTGCGCGTGTGTGTGTGTATGTGTGTGTTTGTTTTTTGGGGATGTTTTGCATGCACGGTTATAATTTTCCCAGAGCCTCATTGATTCTGACGCTCCCGCCTCCCCGAGAAACAAGGGGGAGGATTATGTGGTTGCAGATATTAGGCCATTCATTTCGCAAGCTTACATGTGAAAATATTGACGCTTCCCAGACGCACCCGACGAGATCCTCTCCATTTAATAGTTGGGGGGATTGGTGGTGGGGGGCGGGAATCTCGTAAATAAGCAAATGTTTTGGATTTTGATTGAATTATTCAAGTCTTTAATTGATTTTCTTCGGGATAGTCTGGCATTGTATGCTAAAATGACAACCTGAGAACTATTTGATGAGGAATACAAGAACAAACAAAACATCAGACGACAGGGTCCCCTTAAAAATTGTCAGTTTCAGGGTCAGTCTGTTGACTGTCGTGCGACAAGGCGAAGCGGCTTTATTTGTGTAGCACATTTCATACACCAGGCTACTCAATGTGCTTCACAACGCCGAAGAAGCATTTACACACAAAACAGCACATTTTCAAAATCAAGGCAGAGAAAACAGCTGCTAAAATGACCAAAACAACAATTATTGACAACATTCAAACACCTGAAAAAGCTAAAGTCTCATGTGACACTGATACAGCCTTTGGAGTTTGTTGCAACCTTAGACTCAATTTTGTCCGGCTAACCTATTCGAAAAATCCCATGTCTTGCTATTAGCTTAGCCTCTTAGCATTTCGCTAACAGTAAAGCAGCTTTCACTTTACCGCTGCACACAACTCCAAGAGAAACTTTTCTGACACTGATAAAACAGACAGACAAGCAAGAGTGTGATTTATAGATTTATGCCCCGGGGGTCAACATACTGCCCCCTACTGGCTCGGAATGTGGTCATAAATCAGATCTCATTCATTGCCAGGTACATATTTTTGTCTTTTTTTTTTTTTATGTGTGGAGAAAAATTTTTTTTTTTTTTATGCAGGAGGAGAAAAAGAAGATTTGAAAATGGCTGGCATTGATTGAGTTAATCGCTGAATAAACATGAGTGGGATCACACACACGCACACACACACACACATACACAAATTGATACACAATAAGAAAACAGGCTTCCAGTGAAATGGAACTCGCATCCCAGCAGAGCGGGACTTGGGATAGGCAGTCTGAAGGGGAACAGAAGAAGCGGGAAAGAGTGCAAAGGTTGTCACACACGAGTCACAGAAGAAGGAGGGTGGAGGAAGGGTGGTGGAGGGTGTCGGTGAGGCGGAGGGGTTTGTGCTAGGGGATTTTGCGTTCCAGCCCTCTCAACATCTGTTATTCGTTTGTCCCGAGCTGGGAGGAAAATAGCAGGAAGCATTCTGGCGGTGGCGCAAGATGAAAAGACAAGAAAATTGAATAAAAAAACATGTGTCGCACATACGCGGCCGCTGATTGGACGCGTCCCGCAGAATTATGTGCCCTCCCCGGGGGGTCGCTGCCAGCTTGCACAAGCAGACACACAAATGCACGCGCACTAATGCGGGAAGATTCCTCTCATTCATAAAAAGAGCTTGGCACACCCCCATTGGCACAACATCACACTGTTATGACCGTCCAAACCTCAGCGGAATGAAGTAACCTCTGCCATGTCGCGGGTCATCTTTCGCATCACCGCTAAATCGCGGACTTTTTTAAGTTAACAGTTATGGGTTTTCACTGTCTGAATTTAGAATGGTACACTTTTGGTGTAGCACCACGTTGCCGGACAGCACGCGCAAGAAAAAGAAGGTCCCCAACAGGTTTATAAGAACCGTGACATCCATGCTATTATTCCGTTAGATGAAGTTTCACTATAAGATAGCGTTAAGCTAGCGTACTTACACTTGGGAAATGCTTTGATAGAACATTTTGGTGCTCAGTGTTTATGTTTTGCTGAAAGTATTTATGTGTAAACAGCTTGAAGTGAGCACTATAGCATTTACTCAAAGTAATGTCCGATGATAGTCTCCCATTTATTGACAGCAAGAGAGTGAAAGCAGGCGTGCGGAGAAATTTAAAAAGTGTGTCTTCATGAGTTTGCTGTTAATGCGTTTCGGAAGCATGTTCTGCTGTCCCACAGTTCAATAAGTAACAGCTTAATTTTGTGAGCGACCAACAAATAGGCTCATTTAGCATCATAACGTAACGGCACTGTTCCATGCGCAAGCTTTACTTTTGACTGTGTGTGTACTTTGCCCTCATGTTTAATTACACTTCTGCTTCGCTTTGAGGCAGAGGCAAACAGTGCTATAATTACCACAAACACCTGCTTTAATTTTTCATGGATATCTACCCAGTGTGTGTGTGTGCGTGCGTGTGTGCGTGCGTGCGTGCGTGCGTGTGTGTGTGTGTGTGTGTGTGTGTGTGTGTGTGTTCATATTTATTCGGCGTGAGCGTATCACAAGAATATTTGTTGCAAATAATGTTCAGGTGAAATTTGACCTTTGCAGCGTCTTAATCCCGAGGGATATCAGATCAACATCATTTCCCCAAACTTTTTTCTCTGTTCACCTTTGAACAAGCACACCATTGAAATATTTATAGTCACTTTTTACCGGGCCAAGGAGACAATAATATATTAAAAATGAGCAACATGCATAACAGTGTGGGTGAAGAGTGCTGCGGGATGGCAAAGGTGTGAGCCATTGCTAAATGTAACGTAACGGGGCGGGGAGAGAAGTCATGAAGACGGAAGTTATTATCACTGTTATCAGTTGGCTAGTTCAATGTATTTTACACACAGATAGATCCTTAGATTTGCTAACTATTTTGTCCTTCATCGAGAGAGAAAGCACACAGTGAGTTTGCATTGCTTTAGTTAGGTAGCTAATCGGCTAGCGAACTGGATTTGACATATCTTCAAGGTTCTCATGCAAGATTATGAAAAGAATCTTCTTGCTAGATATTTATTTTGTCGACGAGTATTGTGCTTTTGTATGTGAAAAAGCGGGGGTCAAGCATTGAGGTATTGTTTGTCCTTTGTATCGCTAGGTAGCTAGCTAGTTGGTTAGCTAGCAAACACAGCCATTATTAATTGAATTTACTTTTTAAGAACTGTTCTTAAGCTCAATAAATATCAAGAAATTAAGATCAAAAGATCAAAAACTAAAGCATTTTAAAGAAGATCAGTAAGCATCAAACTAAATATTCCTCCAGGTCTGCAGTATCAATATCCATCCAAAATATGATTGAACCATCTATCAATAGTGAAGCGAAAACCGAATGAAGTGAAGTATGATGTTACCATTCGTGTTTGCTAGTTAGTTAGCTCATGACTTTGCTTATAAGCACAAAAAGCGTTGGCTTTTATTTGTGATTGTCATTACTTTACCCGGTTAGTTCCGCAGATATCGATGTTGTTTTTTGGCAGTAAGAAAACCACAATACATTTTTGCAAGGATCAGGATAAAGATCTGAAACAAGATAATCATTAAGGTTATTGTCCCCTTCCGCAGTTCCAGTCTGCTTGCGTATGGGGTAGCCGGCTGGGGGGGGGGGAAGGCCCGGTGTGTCATGTGTGTGTGGAAGTCAGCGCATTCGCTAGCCTTGGTGGGGGTCTGTGCTCTACTGACAAGCATAGTTTCACTTTATTGGATCGGCTCTTGCCGTGTCAGCACCATCAGCGACAAGAACATATGCACTTAAAGGCAATATGCTAACACGCTGTA